CAGAAGTGGCGCTGTGGCTCAAGTGGTAGAGAGCTAGCCTTGAGCTGAAGAGCTGAGAGACAGTGCCCAGGCCCAGAGTTCAGGCCCATGACTGACAAAAAAAAAAAAAAAAGAAAGAAAGAAATAGAAGACTTGGCTAGACACAAGTGACTCATGCCTGTAATCCCAGCTACGCAGGCTGAGATCTAGGATCAAGGTTCAAAGCCAGCCCAGGAAGAAAGTCTGTGAGAGTCTTATCTCTAATTAATACTAAAAAGCTGGAAGTGGAACTGTGATTCAATTGGTAGAAAACCAGCCCAAGCCCATAAGTTCAAGCTCACGGACCAGCAAAAAAAAAAAAAAGACTTGGAAATAGAAGCCAATACATCAATACATTTCCTTTTGGTCTAAGATAGGTTAACTGAGTTCCTGACTTTCCAAAAGAGTCTTAAGCCTGTTTGCCCTAAACCATATGCAGGGTCTAAAAAAAGTATATGGTGCCAGCTGCTGGTGGCTCACACCTGTAATCCTAGCTACTCAGGAAGCTGAGATCTGAGGATCTAGGTTCAAAGCCAGCCCAGGCAGGAAAGTCCATGAGACTCTTCTCTCCAATAAGCCACCAGAAAACCATAAGTGGTGCTGTGGCTCAAGTGGTAGAGTGCTTGCCTTGAGCTGAAGAGCTGAGAGACAGCATCCAGGCCCAGAATTCAAGCCCCATGACTGACAAAAAAAAAAAGTATATGGTATTCACCAAAAGCAGAAAGTATTTTTTGTTCTTGTTATTACTGGTTATGGGGTTTGAACTCAGGACCTGAGTGCTGTCCCTGAGCCTCTTTGTGCTCAAGGCTAGCTAATGCTCTACCACTTGAGTCACAGAGCCACTTCTGGTTTTTAAGTGGTTAACTGGAGCTAAGAGTCTCAGGGGGACTTTTCTGCCCAGGCTGGCTTTGAACTTCGATCCTTATATTTCAGCCTCCTGAGTAGCTAGGATGACAAATGTGAGCCACCAGCTCCCTACTTAAGCAGGAAGTATCTAAGACAAACAACTTCTGAAATTTCCCTGGAAGATTTACAGTTAACATTGGTCATTGCTTCTAGAGGAACTCAACAAGCAGGCAAAAAACTTCTGTCCGTAGCATATAAAACAAATACACTCCCGTTCACCTTTTTGGAGAATTCCTTTTCTTTTTCACTAAGTACTTGGCTTTTCTCTTGCTCAAGAAGGAATTGTGCTCTTCTCTGTTCTTCAAGGACCAATTCTGTCTGAAAGAGTGAGTCCCGCAAAATTTTAATCTCTCCATTCTTAACGAGGATTTCTTCTTCCATTGTCTTCAGCTGTGAATTCCAAATGAACACCACAGTTTAAGCATGTACCTGTGCAAATATCACTTGTCCTGTGCAGAATCTTCAGGCTCTAACAGTCAGATTCTTCACAAAACTTAAGACTCCATATTATGTCCCTGAGTTAATTTTTTTTAATTCATTTATCATTTTATTTTATTTTTTTAAACTACCTGTAAGTAATCTGTACAAAGGAGTTTCAATTCAACATGTCAGTATTTTGGTTTTGGGTTTGGGGTTTGGGGCTTGAACTCAAGGCCTGGGCGCTGTCCCTGAGTTCTTTTTGCTCAAGGTTAGTGCTCTAACACTTTAAGCCACAGCTTCACTTCTGGTTTTTAGGTGGTTAATTGGACATAAGAGTCTCATGGGCCTTCCTGCCCAGACTGGTTTCAAAGTAAGATCCTTAGATCTCAACTTCTTATGTAGCTATAGACATAAAGCAGCAGCCTCTGGCATTCACATATTTTTTGTTTTGTTTGCTTGAACTCTGGGCCAGGCTCTGTGAGCCTCTCTGTGCCCAAGGCTAGCTTTCTACCATTTGAACTACAGTGCTACCTCTAGCTGTTTTTTTTTTTTTTTTCAAAAGTAGTTTATTGGAGATAAGTATCTCCTCTGTTTCCTGTCAAGGCTACTTCAAACTAGGATCCTCAGAACTCAGCTTCCTGAGTACCTAGGATTACAGGCTTCAGCTACAGCATTCTGCTCAGTTTTTTAGTACAATGTATCTTTACTTCTTTGCCAGTCCTGGGGCTTGAACTCAGGGCCTCAGGACTGTCTTGAGCTTCTTTCTTGCAACTTAATAAAATAATAATCACTATGATGTCATGATCTTCACTTAAACATGCGAGCCTGGTGCTAGTGGCTTACACCTTTAATCCTAGCTACTTCAGTAAACTAGCAAAAGCCAGAAGTGGAGCTGTGGCTCAAGCAGTAGTGTGCTAGCCTTGAAAGAAAAAGTTAAGGAACAGTGGGGCACTGGTGGCTCACGCCTATAATCCTAGCTTCTCAGGAGGCTGAGATCTGAGGCTCATGATTTGAAGCTAGCCTGAGCAGGAAGGTTTGTGAAATTCTTATCTGGAATTGGAGCTGTGGTTCAAAATGGTAAAGCACTAATTCTACCAGCACCCAGCACCCAGGTCTTCTTTTTAACCAGGCCTGGAGCTTGAACTCAGGTCCTGGGCACTGTCCCTGACTGAGCTGCTTTTGCTCAGGACTAGCACTCTACCACTGAGCCACAGCGCCACTTCTGGCTTTTCCTGTGTATGTGGTACTGAGAAATGGAACCCAGGGCTTCATAAATGCTAGGCAAGCATTCTACCACTAAGCCACATTCCTAGTTCAGCACCCAGGTGTTGAGTTCAAGATCCAGGACCAGCAAAACAAAATCCCTATGCTGTACTTTTCATCTTAGTTGGTATTTGTGTTTGGTCTGATGTATAGTGTTTTCTTTTCTTGCCTTGCTTGTGGTTAGCAATCTTATTCTTTGGTTTCTTTCAGTCTACATCATCTAGCTTTCTTTCCCCAACCTTCTTTCATTTATTGGGGATAAATCTAGATGGCTGTGTGAAAAAATTTTATTTCAGGGGCTGGGAAGGTAGCTCAGTGGTAGAGGGCTTGCCTTGCATGCATGAGGCCCTGGGTTCGATTCTTCAGCACCATATAAGCAAAAAAAAGAAAAAGCCAGAAGTGGCACTGTGGCTCAAGTGGTGAGCGCTAGCCTTGAGCTGAAGAGCTGAGGGACAGCGCCCAATCCCAGATTTTAGGTTCCACGACCAGAAAAAAAAATTTATTTCACACAAGTGGCTAAACAAGCCATAAGTGAGCACTGAGAGTGTACTTCAGTGGTATAGCACGCTTATCTATGCAAGGCCCTTGGCTCTATCCTCAACACAGAAATCAACCAGGTAGCCACTAGCAGCTTGTCCCTGTTAATTCTAGCTACTCAGCCCCAAGACTAGGGGCTGGGAAGGTGGCTCAGTGGTAGAGCGCTTGCCTTGCATGCCTGAGGCCCTGGGTTCGATTCCTCAGCACCACATAAGCAAAAAAGAAAAAGCCAGAAGTGGAGCTGTGGCTCAAGTGGTAGAGCACTAGCCTTGAGCTGAAGAGCTGAGGGACAGTGCCCAGTCCCAGAGTTCAGGCCCATGACTGGACCCCCCCCCCAAAAAAAAAAAAGAAATTCCCAAGACTCCATCTCAACAGCTGGAAACAATGGTAAACACTACTCTAGGCCAGTCTGGGCAAAACAGTTAATCAGATTCCATTTCAACAGAAAAAGTTGGGCATGGTAGCACAGACATGTCATCCAGACTATGCAAGAAGCATAAACAGGAGATCATGGGTCTGGGCTGGCTCAGGAAAAAGAAAAGAAATAAATACAAAGGAAAAAAAAAATAACCAGAGTGGGGCTTAGACTGTGGCTTAGTGGTAGAGTGCTTGCCTAGCATGCATGAAGCCCTGGGTTCAATTCCTCAGTACCACATACACAGAAAAAGCCAGAAGTCACCCTGTGGCTCAAGTGTTAAGAGTGCTAAGCCTTGAGCAAAAGAAGCTCAGGGACAGTGCCTTGAGTTCAAGCCCCAGGACTGGAAAAACAACAAAAAAACAAAAACAAAAACAAACAACAACAAAACAGAAAAAGAGCTAGAAGTATGTTTCAAGTGGAAGAATGTCTATCTACCTAGTATGTTTCAGACCCTGAGTTCAAACTCCCAATACTGCTCTCAGCCAAACACACCAAGAAATAACAAGGCAAAAATACCCCAAAAGTTACCTTTTTTTCAAGTTCTTTGTATTGTGTCTGAAGTACCTCAAATTGACAGTTATCGTTAACTGGAGTATTTTCTCTGTTTTTCCCTGCTGGACTTTTTGGCATTTCATCAAATCTGTAGACCTTATAAACACCTGTTAAAAAAATTCCATAATTCAAGGAAGGTGACATGATGCTAAGCCCAGCACCTGGAAGGCAGAGGTAGTAGAATCTTGAATCTCAAGTTTAAGGCCAGCATGGCTAGATACAAGACCTTGTTTCAAAAACAATTCCACATAGGGCTGAAAAAGTGACTTAGTAATAAGAGTGCTTGCCTTGCATGCATGAAGCCCTAGTTCAATTCCTCAGCATCACATACACAGAAAAAGCCAGAAGTGTGCTGTGGCCCAAGTGGCAGAGTGCTAGCCTTGAGCAAAAGCAGCTCAAGGACAGTGTCCAGGCCTGAGTTCAAACCCCAGGACTGTCAAAAAAATTCCACACAAATTTCAGGAGTCAATGTTTCCCAACTTTTTCCAGAAAATAAAAAGAATCATTCTTAAAAGCAAAGCAGGGAGGCAGGCACTGGTAGTTTAACATCTGAAATCCAAGCTACCAGGAAGCTGAGATTTGAGGATCGTGGTTCAAAACCAGCCCAGGCAGAAAAGTCTATGACTTTTTTTTTTTTGCCAGTCCTGGGGCTTGAACTCAGGGCCTGAGCACTGTCCCTGAGTTTCTTTTGTTCAGGGCTAGCACCTTACCACTTGAGCCACAGCACCACTTTTTTTGTTTATATAGTACAGAGGAATGGAACCCAGGGCATCATGCATGCTAGACAAGCATTCTACCACTAAGCAACATTCCCAACCCCTGTTAGACTCTACTCTTCACCAAACTACCAAAAAAAAAAAAGAGCCAGAAGTAGAGCTGTGGCTTGAGAGGTAGAGCACTAGCCTTGAGCCAAAGATCAGGGACAGCACCCAGACCCTGAGAATGAAGGCCCAGGAATGAGTCAAGTCAGTCTGTCTCTCTCTCTCTCTCACTCTCAGACGTAGGCAAAGATTTAGCAATCTAACATATATATCAGTCTGTTTGTCTTCTCTTTCGTGCCAGTCCTGGCGGTAGACCTCCTAAGAACTAAAGCAGCAGTGACGATTCTGATGGTGCTACCAGTTGTGTTCCAAAGATCTCTGCTTAGAACCAAGAACGCAGTGCCAGACACTTGCGAGAAGGAAGTGAAAAAAAAAATGTGAATCTCTACGTGCAAACCGTGGCGATGATCTGACATTCCGGATCTCTCCTCTCAAATCAAAGGTTCCTCTGGAACACAACCATCGCGGCTGAAATCTGGGTGACTCTGGCCACGGGGTTCTGCGGCCACCACCCCTCCATAGATGGGGGCTGAGATCTGTGATCACCCGCCTACGTGGGGTGGGAGTGTGAGGAAGAGGAGGAGGAGGAGGGGGGGGATGCACAGGACACCCCAAGAACACTCACTAGACATGTCTCGGGCCTCTGCCCGGCACTGACTCAAAGCCTGGGACGCGAGGACGTCGAGTTCCTCCAGATCGTCGGCCGTCAGTTCCCCATGCTCGCCGAAGGGGTCTTCGGTGTCCGGGCCCAGGCCCGCCGAGCAGCCCCGGGCCCGTTTCCTCGGAGGATGCTCGTTCTCGGGCTGCGTGTCCAGGAAGGAGGCTGGGGATGCGCCTCAAGTGGTAGAGTGCTTGCCTTGAGCTGAAGAGC